CAAGAGGGAACCATGTTTTTCCACCCTCGAGCCTCGGATGACGAATGTTAAGAAGGCTGAAATAAAAAACACCCGTGTGAGTCGCGTAATCAGTGACGGCAAAATCCAGTTAGTAACCATGCAGTCGTGCAGTTCTTGGAACACTCACATGTTGTGGAAGTCTACAACGGTGTCCGCCAGACACTCGCCGTCCGCGAGGGTGAGAGCGTCTTGGGCAGTCAGCTGACATCCCACTCCATGGGGACCGTACAGCGCCAACGTCTGAAAATCGCGCTGATAGGTGGGGTTCCGCAGGTGAGAAACAACGTCATCCGGTGGCGGTGGTGTTGCTGATCCAGAAACAGTTACGCCGCTGGCCGCCGCTTGTACCCTTCGCTCAGCACGGGGCTCGTTCTTCACTTTCCGCTGACGGCGCACTCCAGACGTCTTCACAGTTGTCAGTGTACTTGCGGCACCGGAAGAGTTGCCTCTCTGCGTGAGCATATGCTGTATGTTCATCGTGTGCCCTTGCAGGCTATGACGCTAACTAAGCTGCTTGGAGAAGGAGAATCCGAGCACGCTAACAGGACTCATGACGCTAAGAGGCGGATAGATCCGCATTTTCATTTTCAAACCTCAAATGAGTTCCGCACGGACAAATGGAAGAATATACTAGACACGGGAGTGCGCGCAGACGGTTGCGTCTGTGTGTTGAGAGGAACTCAAAAGATGTACATGGCAACCACTGTGTCACACTGCGCGCCAACTCCAGATTCGACGTTTTCGCGCGGAAAAGCAGCTCCGTCTGGGCGTCGCACGTGTCATGCTAAAACTGCACTCGTCATTTGTTCATTAGCATGTGATGTGACGTACGCGGTACTGCACGCCAGATGATAAACACGAAATACAGCCGCGTTGGCAAACCTGCGGCTGCATGCCATCATATGAAGATCTTGTGTTTGAAAGCGGAAGAATGGTTTTGGGTGCCTGTGTGGCCACCAAACCCTATCCACGAATTTACGTCTTACACAGTCCCGGTACTATGTTTAAATATGAGACATAGCGGAGCAGAACGAGATGTTTCCGAACAATATTTTGGAGAGGTCCTTCACAATCGTAGTGCCGCATGCTGAAAACGTGTCAAACACACTATATTACATGATTCATGGCACACTAGTGAAAGCACATTAACTAGCTATGGTAGCGACATTAATAGACTTTCGGGGACGCTTAATAGGAGTACGGCGAAGACGACTAACCACTTCGGCGTTCGACGCACCAAACCGTTCAGGCGCGTCTCGCACTTGTATGCCGAGAGAGATGGCTTGACGAACAAGTAGTTCGGAGACCACGCGTGCTACGCGCCTGCGACAACGACTGTCACTGAATAGCGGGCCAGGATGAGTGTTCAGTGTTATGACGGGGTCTTCCACAGAGGCGGGCGTCTCGTTACCGACACGCTCAACGCGTGGGGGTATAAGGAGCTGCTCGCAATGGGCAAAATCTGTAGCATGCATGAGGCCTTCGCCCCGAGGCCTGAACTCGTCTATTAGCCACTGCAGCTGACCCAGCTCCAACACCAGTGGTTCTGACAGGACGCTAAGTACTGGGTTCTTGTACGCGCGGATGGCGAGTTGCCATGTTGCTGGCACACATCCAGTGCGCCACCAGCTAAGATGGACCGACGCAGGCGTGGCTTCCGACCACGAGGCCCCCATCCATCGAATCATGTGTAACAGGGGCGGGAGCCGGAACTCAGAGCCGTCGCGCCACTCTTGAGTCCGCATCAAATGTCGCAGGTAACATCCACGATAAAGCGTCCTCCACAACTCCACGATCCCACACAGGCCGGGATGGATGCACCGTGGCGCAGCGCCGTGCATGTGAACGATACGGAGGTTGCTCAAGTTTTGGACGCGGAAACCATGTTCCGTCGTTTCCATCGCGGAAATGTCTGTCGTAGCGTGGGAGTCCTTCGTTACAAGGACAATGACGTGGTCGTCCGTGGAGTACGAGACGCCGTTCAACGCTTCGAGGTACTCGCTGAATATCTGCGTGAGGAGCAAGACAACGAGTGCGAAGTATAGTCAGTAGGGGTGTCACAGCGGTCGTAATCAGGTGTAGCCATTGGTTCTCGAGATAATGCATGACAGTACGCACATCGGGGGTGACTGTTCCGTCGATGGTGTGGCGCACGAATACGGGATGACCGGCCGGGTTTTCTATGCCCTGCGCAAGCTCGTCTTCAAGGAGAAACATTACCAGCGGCGAACACATGACGGTGCCGGCTGCATTGAAAAGAAAGCCAATGTTGAGGTGCCAGTCGGGACGCGGGTCGAGTCGGCCATCACCAGGAATGCGGAAGGGCAGCTTGGTGGGCAGGATGGCTTCTTCCACAAAGCAGAACACGTCCTGAGGGTGAGCCTGTAACTCCTCGAGCAAAAGGGCCATTTCAGCCATGGTGGCGGGAATTCAGCGCTTTGCACATGTGGTGCGCGAGTTATAAGAGAAGGAAGCGAGACGGATTAACGGGCTCTAATGACGGACAGTGCCATTACCCACGCGGACGTTATCCGCCACGTAATCAATACCCTAACCAACGTTGTGAACTTGCGTACGTGACATGGACACATGGAGTATTGTCATTCGGACAGAGGGCGCCACTATCGACCGCATGGAGGGGGAACAGCTGGGATGAGTGGCCCGGATGAGACCAGTGTACATTGGCCCCCCCCGAACAGGGACTTTGATTCCGCGGATAGTACTGTAACCGGAATGGAGTGAGTGATACTTTTAGCGGGTTTGTTCCATAGCGAACATAGAAGGCCACAGTTGGACAGAACGAATGGTGGGCTAAACACAAGATCATAAGTAGAACTTAGCAACTGAGTGGGAAGTACAGTACATGTACGGCCCATCTGGCAGACTGATACCGGGCCCGGCGTTAAATTGACCGCTACACACCGTGCTTTAGTTTCAATCAACCAGGTCAACTGACGTGCCAAATGTCATATGGACCAACCTCGTTTCTACCGGCGATGAATACGCTGGAACCGAGCTGGGAGAGACCTGCAACAGTTGCAAACATTCAGGCACATATTGTGCCTTCGGATGGACGAACAGCCTTATCGGTAGGCAGAAGTTAGGGTTAGCACAAGCTCTAGCAATGCTGGGCAACGTCTGCGAGGCGTGCGGACTGGAGCATGTTGACGACAACACACTCCAGTCGCATGTGTCGAACAATATTAAATGCAGGTGCAAGATTCAACACTCCCGTGCCCAGCGGCTGGTGGAGGCGTATCGGGACGCGCTCCGCGCCAGACGCGGAGCCAGGCCCCAAACACCCGTGCGTTATACAAACAACATTGGAGGCGCTTCGGCGTCGGGCGGAGAAGTGGACCCTGCTGCAGTTGTCGATGAACCAGACGATCCCATAGATCCCGCTGAGGAGAGCGATGGGGAGGAGAGTGTTATGTCACATATAGACGACGGCTTCAATACTCTCATAGAGCTGTACATCTTCTTCCGCGAAGCCGATCTGTCGCGACGAGAGGTGAATAGACTGCTCAGCATTTTCCAGAACCCTAAGTTCTCTTTGAGGGACGTGCGGAGGTGGCTCAATTTCGTGGATGTTAGACGGTTTGGGCGCGAAAGGGCACCAGTTGACCAGGTGCCATGGAAGACGAAGGGCGTCAAGTGCTACGGACCAAGAGGGAGGATGTGCACGCTGCTGTTGCACTACCGGGACAGAGAGCTGGTGAGAAAAAACCAGAGTCACTCCGCATACATGGAATGACGATGTATAGATTAACTGCTTGTTATACTCATCCCTTAACAATTAGCGGGAGTGTGTTTGGCAGCTGGTGAAGAAGTTGTTACGGGCATTTCAGCACGTCGCGGGGTTTGTCACCAAACCGCGCACGGACGAGGAGGACACCAAGGACGTACGTCATTACAGCACGCCGGACACTGGGAAGTGGTGCCACGAAGCGCAGGTGAGGTGTATGGCCATTGTAGAAGATAACGCCCGGATCAATTTATGCTAGTCCTAATACCGGTCTTTCAACGTGCACAGGCCAGCATGCCAGACGAAGACTGCATTGTGCTGGGGGTGATCATGTACAGCGACAGCACGCACGCATCCAAGAACGGCAGGCTTGCTGCGTGGCCGGTACTCGTCAGTCTATACAACATCCCGGAAGCACTACGCTGGCAAGAGCCGGGACACCTTATGGCGGGAGTGCTGCCATTCCCGCCAGAGTGGGCGTCGTCAACAGAGAAGACACGAGTATTCCAGGCGTGCATGGAAGTGATTTTTGAGCCATTACTCAGGGCACACCGAGGGTAAGGGGAGCGGTGTATGTTACAAGCATAGTATGATGGATGAGACACGTAAATGACATTTGGTGTGGCGACACGTGCAGTGCAGAGCTTCGATGGTTCTACGTAACCGATGCTACGGGAAAGGTGGTCAAGGCGTTTCCATGTCTTTTCGGTCAGCTTGGTGACTACCCAGAGTCGTCAAGATCCACAGCAACGATGCAGCAAGGATCGCACCAGCCGTGTTCGTCGTGCTACACCAAGGAAACACATCTGTCCGACATTACGCAGGAGTCAGTGGTGCGGACTGTAGAGCTCCATAGACGAGTAGTGGCCGCAATCCACTTGGCCCTGGACTCTAAGGCGGCCGAGAAAATCAAAAAGCAATGGTCGACGCACCCGGTGCAGGTGAGAACCGAGTACCACACTAAGAAACCCTGGACTTCAGCGTGTGTCAATGCCCATCTTAGTGTGTCAATGTACATGAGCAGCAGTGTTACTTGGAGAGGTGGAACTTCGCAGAGACAACATGGGGCAACGTGTTCCTCGCATGCGCCGCGGACCTTCTTCACGTCCTGGACGCAGGCATGCTCCCACGCATGGGCAAGTGCTTCATGGTGGGGAAGAGCAAGCCAGAGCGAAGGGAATTTGAGAGGCGTGTACGCTCTCATCCGGATATTTCTAGCTGCCGCGTGATGAACATGCAATGCACGTGGCTGACCGTAGATGGGTGGGTTGGCAGGCGCCGCAAGGAGCAAAAGAAGGACACGCGCGCAAGTGTGGTGCGCATACCAGGAGGGGCCACATGGTTTAGCAGTGGGGCGAACTACGCAGCCTTCGAGCACAGGGGGATGATGCAGGTGATGCCCTTGCTGATTGCCGACAGTATGGCGAGGAGCAAACCAGCGGAGAAGGAGAAACGGCAACGGGAGGTGGCGGCGTTTGTGGCATACGCCAGCTTCTACAAGGCGCTTGTCGGCGTGACAAAGCACACGGACGACACCCTGGACGACGTCAGAGCAATGGCAGTGACGTAAGTTCCGTGATTCGTGCAGACCCTGGTGTGCACTAAACTTTCAAATTGTAGGAATGTGTAGGTGTAGTATGGGGAGTTGTGTGCAACGACATGTGCTGAAATGTGATGTGCCATTACATCTGGACTTATATCCGCCTCACGTGTCGCTGTGCAGAATGATGGCGGCAATCGTCGCTGCGTTTCTCGACCAGATCTCAGGCTGGAACATCCCGAAGGTGCACCAGATTGTGCACCTGATTGTCGGCATCCCTATGCGTGGGTTGACGCACGAGACATCCACGAACCTATGGGAGCACACACACAAGGGCACAGTGAAGGTGCCGGTGCGAGGAAGCAACTGGCAGGACATTCCACGCCGCATTATCGAGGAGGAGGTGCAGCGCGAGATAGCGCGGGAGGTGTCCGCGGACGCAGGCGGCAACAGGCAGTATGTGACGGCGCTGCGCGAGGTAGTTGCAGTACACGGCATGCAGTCTGCGACACCATGTAGCATGACGTATTGTGTCGGAGTGCGGTAACCTCATGGAATCATTCAGCGACTGTATCACAATCTGTGTGCACACAGGCTGTACGGACGCGCAAACCCGTCCTGACGAAGAAATCACGTCCGGCCAATGTGGACGAGGACCTGGACGCGGTTATGTGGGTGTATCGCAAGGCACATGGGTCCGACATGGACGCACTCGCAGGCTGCATGAGGGCGGCAGGCCTCCCGTCGCCATCCATCGCGGTGAGGCCGGCTTTTATGCATTTTCGTGTGGCATGTGGACCACTATCGTGGGCCGCTCGTGCTAGAGTCCTGGTACTTGTGGGTACAGTCACCAGAATTGCCCTCATGTTGACCGTCATGCGCAGGTGCACACCGCTGTGGCGATACCCCGAACAAGAGGCAGGGAGCTTGTGCCGAAGGGTACGTTTGTGAAGGCAAGCCCATCAGAGAAGTGGTTTTCAGACGTGGCCATGCTTAACCCAGACGAGGGAGAGTGGTACGCAAGGTGCCTATGCATCTTCAGGACAAAGGGGGTGGATGGAGAGATGGGGAGGCACGTGTACGTGAAGTACTACGAGGCGGAGGGCACGTGCCCGATGACAACTTGCTTGCAGTTGACACCCGGCCGTGTGAGGACAAGGTATGCTGTGGTGGACGTAGAGTGCATCCAGAGGGTGGTGCACATTTGCATGTCTTATGTGGACAAGCGTGTCATGCTGCTCAACAGGTTCCTGCTGACCGAGTGAACATGAGTGGGTTTGAATCGCTGGGTTCACGGGACAGTTCAGTGGCTTGTCGCACCGTGTGACACGCAATTGACGCTGATTATGTGTGAAAGGGCGATGACCAAAATCACGTGATGGTGACCACACAACACTATTGAAGAGTATTGTATGCAGTATATGTGGGTTGAGCATGACGGTAGTGTATCTTACTTTGACATTCCTAATTGCGTAGACACACAACAGACGAGCCCAATTAGCAGTGGTCGCTGAATGGCGAAAAATGTGCGGCGCGGGGAATTTACATTGGCGCGGGAATCCCAAATGTGCGGTCCGTAAAAAACGTGCGACACATTCCATGAAATGTGCGGTGCGAGCATCCAAAGGCCGAAAAGTGTATAAGGGGAAAACCCAAAATGTGACATTTGCGTCACATGTGGTTTGGGGTCTTTTGTGTACTGTATGGGACTTTTTGTATGTTTTTTCGTAGAAAAACCTACGGACCCCTGAAATGTGCTTCTTCCTTTTCCGCGAAGTGGTAATAGTGACGCTACAGGGAAGGTTTTGGCCAGTCAAGCCAAAAATAGCTCTGATAAAATAGAAACATTGCTGATGTATACTTACTATAGCGGTGGTAATCAGCTATTTATGACCGGAGAAAGCCGCGATGCATATTTCTTAAAGAGGCCACCAGTGGAAATGGAGCTGTTGTCCCTGAGTGATTTCAAATATAGTTGCTGATATCATCATAGAATGAAGTCAGCAAGTCAAAATATAGTAGTTCCCTACTCACTGAAATATTCGGCTTCTAAAACATAACGCAATGGCGCATCTTGGCGAGCGACAGGTAGAAGGAGGAGAGGAGAGCAGGGATGCGTTTTTTCCTGCGAAGGTATGTGCCGTGGAGAGAGATATCAACTGTCTACAAGTGGGAAGAGGAGATGCAGCGAGAAAAAAGGAGCAGACGAGGAAGTCAGTCGACCCGCACAGATCCAGATTGAGATCATGTGGGGTTGGTTGCAAGAGGATGCGAGAGATACTTGTAGTCGCCGTACTTCGCGCGATCGTAATTGCTTCGCAGACTGCCTCTAGTGCCTGCATCAGCATCGCCATCCCTCACCGTGGATTGACTGGGGGTGGTGTGGAGCTGTTGGTGGTGGCGGCTTGCTGCGAGCCGCAGCGGGACGTGCGGAGCATGGATTGAATTTGAGGTGTTGGAATTATTGCAAACAATTCGCTGGCTGCACGAAGAAGACGTCGAGCGAAAACTGCTCTGTTACCACACGTTTATAAAATAAATTTCTATGAAAATATGCAAGAGCTTTGGAAATTTTAGGAAACAGATCAACCGGTGTGACTCTGGAAATGCACCTGTTGATCTGTTTTAGCTAGAATACATGTTGCTCATTAGAGCCAATCTAGTTATAAATAGCCTCCCATATTGCGTGCTCGCTACCCTCTGGTTCACCCTACTATGCAGATACTTTCGCCTCTACGCCTGCTGCTGCTCCGTCTGCTCCGTCTCCTGCAGCCTCTTTGGTTGGCTGCGGCGGTTTCTGAGATTCGACATCCGCAGGCGGTGTTGGAGGTCGGTGGGGGGCCAAGTGGTCCCCACTACACACCCCTCCAACCTTACCTAGTAGGGTTGGGTGGCGAGAACTTGGTCGGAGGGTGACGGTGCACTCAAGTCAAGGGTTTCACTTGGGTGGTAGGAAGAAACAAAAACGACGAGGGCTATTTACAAGTTGCGCGGAAGGAACCAACCAACGCACAAACAAATGGCGCGATACATTTGGTCCGACCAATTGTAATTGCAACTTATGTGCATTGACGGAAGGGTAAGACGGAAAAGGACGTAACTCATTTTCCGAAATTCCACCGTCATTTTTGCAACGGGGTGGGTTACGAAATTGCATGCGGCTCGACTACAAATGCGGTTCGACTATAGGGGGTTTGTTGAATTCTATGTTCTAGAGTATAAAAACTCTCTCGTCATTGTGAATTGCATCCTCTCTGGAATTGTATACCCAGCCCTATATAATCGACGATTGCGTTCTCATTACTTGGCCGTTCTTGGCGTTCTTTGTTGCTACGGATTCTTCACTCAAAGACCTATCCACAAAGAGCTTATAAGATTTTTTTCATCAAGTAGTCAGTTCACGACGGCGTTTATAGTGGACGGTTTTTCCTACATGGTTTCAGAGCTTTAGGAATTCTCAAACGCTTGACGCCTAGCTCTACTCATCGCCATGTCTTTGAATTCCTCATCGACCTCTGATGTCCCCCTTCTTCCTACCCCCAATGAGTCCTAATCCGCATCTACGACGATCGTGGACATGAGTGCGGTGCCATTGTTCAATGGTGAGCACTATGCATCATGTCGCTTCAAGTTGAAGGTGCCATGATGGAGCGTGAGCTTTGGGGCTTCTTCGACGGATCCGAAACGAAGCCTTCAAGCGCCTCGACAACGGAGTATGGAGCATGGGTAAAGAAAGACAAGAAGGTGTTCTCGTTTCTCGTGTCGAAGCTCGGACTTCAACTCGTGCCGGTGGTGAGCTCGTGCATCGACCTTGAAGGAGCTACATGTGAGAAGGATTGACGAAAGAATGAATAAACTAGAAAATGAGATGGGTACAAATAGAAAACACATAAGTGTTGTACCCTCTAAGAGCTACCCCAATACAGCCTAAATAGACCATAGCAGATATAAGTTTGACACACCCCCATAGGCAAAGTGGGGGAGAACAAGAGGTCACAAGACCAGTCAAGAAAAGCAAAGCAAGCTCAGGGTGGATCACAAAGTCACCACACAGTCTGAGCACAAGAAAATGGCCATAAGGCCAGTTCACATGCAGAGTTATATAAAGGAAAGCAAACAGTACAGTGAACACAACCTAGCAAGTGTAAGCATGCAGGTATAAGTATATAGAGTACAGTACAAGCAGAGTCAAGAAATCAACAAGTGAGGCACAGTAGGTACAAGGCCTAACATAGTACAGAAACGCTGATGATCACAAGGCTGAAGTGCCTTGGTGAAAACATCAGCAGTGTTGGCCTGAGAGGCCACGTAAGCAAGACGAAGCTGGCCACGCTGCTGCAACTCTCGAGCAAGGAAGTAGCGCAGAGCAATGTGCTTCGTTCTGTGCTCCAGTCTGTGCTCTTGACACAAGGCCAGCATGGCCTTGTTGTCGACGTACAGAACTGGAGGAGAACGAGGCGCCTCTCCCAAGTCGGTCAGCAGGTAGGTGAGCCAGCGAAGCTCCTGTGCAACCATGGCCCCAGCGTAGATCTCAGCCTCACAACTGGAGTTGAGAACAGAAGAAGAGCAGGTAGACCGCCAGGAGATAGAACCGGAGCCAAGGCTGAAGGTGTAACCCTGTGACGACCGCTGCGTAGCCAAGTCGTCAACCCAGGAGGCGTCAGCGTGACCAGTGAGGACAACTCGAGCCCGTCCTCCAAGCACGAGCCCCATGCCCGATGTACTGCACAAGTATCGCAACACCCTCTTCACAGCATCCCAGTGCACCTTTCGGTGCCTGCCGGGAGCCACGTAGCGAGCCAGAAGGCTGAGAGGGTATGCGAGGTCAGGTCGTGTGCAAGTCATCAGGTACATGAGGCAGCCCACAAGCTCTGGATACGGGCCACTCGGCTCTACGGACTCGTCCGAAGGTGGAGCTGAGAGCGAGTGACCGGTAGGCAGAGGAGTGGACTGTGGCGAGGAGTAGGTGAAGCCGAAGCGCTGAAGGACCTGCTGCACCATGTGTGACTGAGTCAAGGTAATGGTGCGCTGTGCTCTGTCCCGGGTGATCCGCAAGCCAAGATAGCTTGTGAGCTCACCCAGGTCTGTGCACGTGTGTCTCTTCTGCAGCTCGGACTTCACATGGGCGAGTGCCTCCGTGTCAGCAGTAGCAAAGACAAGGTCGTCTACGTACACAAGAACGTAGAACGGCGGCAGAGTAGCGTCAGTGCGTAGAAACAGAGAAGGGCCAGCAGTGGAAGGAGCAAAACCAAGAGCAGCAAGAGTCGTCCTGAGCGTGTCGTGCCACTCACGGGGCGCCTGGCGGAGACCGTAGACTGGCCGCCGGAGGCTCCACTGGGTACCAGCAGGAAACGACCCAGTGAAGCCAGGTGGGCGGCGCAGCCAGATCTCCTCGTGCAGGCTGCCCTGTAGGAAGGCTGTGCTGAAGTCAAGCGAGTGGAGCTCGTAGTCACGCTGAGCAGCAACATGCAGCAGTACCCGAAGAGTGGTCATCTTCGGGGTAGGGGAGAAGGTCTGAAAGAAGTCAACTCCCTGTCGCTGACTGAAGCCACGTGCAACGTAACGCGCCTTGAAGGCAGGCGGAGAACCCGGCGGCCGCTTCACCCTGAAGATCCACATGCCACTGACGATGTTCGCCCCAGGTGGGGGAACCTCGTCTACGTGGGTGCCTGTAGACTTCCAGGAAGCCATCTCTGCGTCCATGGCTGCGTGCCACTGAGAGGAGTAGGGACCCTCTATCGCCTCTGCGTAAGAGCGCGGGGTCGGGATGTCTAGTGCATCCGGGTCTCCCTCAGGGGCAAGCAGCATGGACACGAGATGAGGTGACGCAGCGGCAAAGCACTCAAGGTCCTCCTATCTGTCCTCAAGAACGTCCGTGCCAAGAGCACACTCACCCCCGACGGACGGAGGACAGATAGACGCAGACGCAGCAACAAGACTAGTGGCGTAATCTAGGCGACAGGCTGCAGCAAAGTCAACAAGCTCAGCAACAAGAGCAGACGCAGCAGAGGACTCAAACAGAGGGTCAGTGACAACAGTGGCCAGAAAGCGCGTGACAGTAGGACTAGCAGCACGAAGGGAGTCAGACTCCGGGTCCGGACCGTCAGGAAGAGAGGACGCAGGAGGAGAGGGCAGAGGGACACGCTGTGAAGCAGTAGAAGGACGCAGTGTCATAGAGTGAGTGCCTGGGACAGGTGGAAGACGTGGACGCGAAACACGACCAACGCGAACAGTGCGGACAGGCGACGCAGAACGAGACGCAGGC